CGAGGCCCGTTCATACTTCCAGCACTGTCGCCAGCCCTGGATGGGATGAGAATGTCGCAGTAGTGCAGCAGTGCTGAGCTGCCAACAAGTCTCCCGCGAGGTACACTTCCGCTGAGGACCAGGAAGATGAGGACAACGTAGCTTTTAGCCGTCGTTCTCATCCAGTGTGGGAGCATTTCAGGGCACATCCGGAGTTAAATAGGAGGAAACCAGGGATAATAAAGTCTCCATTCTCTTGGGAAAAAAATGTGGGGGAGCGTCTGCTCCATCACAATATATCTATAGTCTGGGCAACAATTTGCAGAAGGTGACCCCTGAGGATCTGTAGCAAAAGTACAGCCCCGATGAGGTGAAGGAGCTGTGTCTGCGTACCAAATTACACGCATCACGCGCCCGTTCATACTGCCGTGTTCAACGGAGATGAGGATACAAACACGCATCAGTACAGTGTAGTACAGTACAGTACAGTACAGTATATAAAAATAAAGGATGTTATCTCTGCTCATATCTCCTAAACTAAAATTATCTTGAAAATTAGATTCGCTAAAGCTCTGGAAAATGTTCTACTAGATGTGTACATTTATTTTATTCAAAGCGTTCATAAAATATTTTTTCGTTTTGTTTTGAAAAGCTGTTGTTGCGACGGGCGCGCGGTATTTTTTCCATTTTTTTTTTGGCTAGCCTTTGCCTCTGCTTTCGGCTTCGTCAATGTCTCGACCCACGTCGAGCGACAGAACACACCAAGAAAATATGAAGTCTTACGACGGGAATAGGTCCAGGGCCGGATTAGCAGTTGCCTAGGGCCCCCTAGGGATAACAGAAAAATTTTGTTGAAAAAACAAAACTCCAAATAATGAATAAAAAATATAATAGCCACTGAGAAAAATACAAAGTAAAGGAGGGCCCCCAGATTGATGGTTGCCCAGGGCCCGGTTGAGGGTTGATCCGGCCCTGAATAGGTCTAGTTTGGTTTTAAAGTTGTTATTTGTTTGTATTGCTTGTATATACAGGGGAAAAAATGTGGCAAAATTAAAAAATATTTTATGAACGCTTTGAATAAAATAAATGTACACATCAAGTAGAAAATTTTCCAGAGCTTTAGCGAATATAATTTTCAAGATAATTTTAGCTTAGGAGATATGAGCAGAGATAACATAATTTATTTTTATATACTGTATTTATTTCCCACCCCCACCCACTCTGCCCATTCCTCATTTATGTTGCGGCAGGTCAGCTCAGTTCGCTACATCACATCAGCCCTCAAAACAAAACGAAAAACCATTCAAGCGGCCAAAAATTGTAGAGCCCACACACAAGCACAGTATGTGTGAATACATGGCACACACACGTTTACGTAAACTGAAATCTCGAACAAAGTCGGTTTCGGCAGCTAAAAATTATTCTATGCATACAATCATATATTTTGGAGTGTACACGTACACAACGCATGCATGCTTGCTGCCAGTCGGCTCGTGTGACGTCATGTGCCGAACGCGGCCATTCCCAGAGCCGAACGCGGCCATTCCCAGAGCCGAACGCGGCCATTCCCAAAGATCTGGGAACGTACGCTGCAAACTCAGCTGCGCCCCTTTCGTTGTATGAACTGGCACATCTATATACTGTATGGTTAGTGGCTTAGCCGTTGTAAAAAAAAACTGCGACGCTGGCAAGACGCAAAGAAGCATGACGCAGCCCCAATGTAAACAGCCTATTATTTTCCGAAACCGTCTTTGTTTTGAGTTTTCAGGTTACGTAAATGTGTGTGTGCTCACATACTGTGCTTGTGTGTTGGTTCTACAATTTTTGGCCGTTTCGTTTTTCGCCTTTGTTTTCAGCTTGTGGAGCGACCTGCCGCATCATAAGTGAGGAATGGGCAGAGTGGGTGGGGTGGGCGTGGGTAATAAATAAAATATTAAAATAAAAGCTGTTACTGGTTTGATTTTTATATTTTATTTATTTATTTATTTACTAAGTTGAAAAGGCGAAAGCAGACAACATTTGAAAAATATTTATGTACATACATGCATAGCCGAATGGTCCCAGCACCCCAGCCGAAGGCCCTGGGAGTGTTGGGACAGAAAACTCAGCTGCGACACCTTCGGTGTATTAACTGGCACATCTATATACTGTGTGGTTAGTGCTTCCGTACAGAGCCTAGAAAACAGTTTTTGCCGTAAAAAATTTCTTATCGGTTTCATACGAATATCAACCCTGATTCTGTTCGCGAGGTGTTTTTTTCGATCTGAGTACTAGGCTTTGATTTCTTTTTGTAAGTAAAGAGGAGCTACAAGGAGCATACACAACGGTAACATTTATCGCGGTTTGACTCAAGGTGTTCGGGGTGTATAAATAAGGGGGTTCAGTGGGTTAAGTCAGTTTTTTTTGCTCGTTATCCACACTGCTTTACCTACAAACAAACAAACAAACATTTATTGTGCATCGAATTAAATGAATTTTATTAATGTGAATTAAATGACACATCCACATGTCACTCCCGCGCATAACGGACTATGATATACTCGAGAAACTTGGAGTGGGGAGCTATGCATCCGTCTACAAAGCGCGCCACAAAGTAGGGCACATACACACACACTTTACGGTCAATTAGCTGATTAAAATTTACAATAATCTATCCATTTTCAGAAGCAGCGCACTTATCACGCTATCAAATATGTGGAAATGTCAACGTTATCGCAAACCTCGCGGGAGAATCTAATAACGGAAATACGCCTCCTGAGGGATCTCCATCACAAGTATATTGTGACGTTGCAGGATTTCTTCTGGGACGATAAGTACATAAGTGAATAGAATTCATATAACACCATTCCTCATACAGAGTATTTCCACTAGGAACATTTACATTGTGTTGGAGTACTGCAATGCCGGCAACCTGTCTGCTTTTATACGCACCAAGAAGGCACTGCCGGAGACCACCTGCCGCTATTTTCTACGCCAGTTGGCCGCCGCCGTGCAGTATATGCGGGCCAACGATGTTTCCCACTTTGACCTGAAGCCCCAGAACCTTCTCCTCACGCGAGGAGCCAACAATGTCTCTCTTAAAGTAGCTGACTTTGGGTAACCATATGGGAAAACAATGCCAAAAGATATTCCTAACTCTACTCCGTCTTTAGGTTTGCCCAGCACTTGAAGCTGGGCGAGATCAATCAGCAGTTGAAGGGATCACCGCTGTATATGGCACCGGAGATTGTGCGGAAGCATCAGTACGATGCCAAGGCGGATCTCTGGAGCATTGGTGTGATCCTGTACGAGTGCCTGTTCGGCAAGGCGCCTTATAGCTCGCGGACCATTGAGGAGCTGCTGTTGAAGATACGCAACGCCGAACCCATCACACTGCCACCAAATGCACGCATCAGCAACGAGTGTCACGATCTCCTGCGCCGCCTGCTGGCCCACGAGCCAACGGCGCGCATTTCTTTTGCGGATTTCTTTGCGCATCCGTTTCTAGATCTCAAGACGTTTCCCACGGAGCACACGCTGAAGAAGGCCATTGATCTGGTCACCCAGGCGTGTGAACACGACGAGAAGCACAATTACAAGGAGGCTTATTATCTATACTGCAGCGCGCTGCAATATTTTGTGCCGCTGATCACGGAGGAGTCGGATGCCCCCAAGCGGCAGGCGCTGCGCAACCGAGCTCTGACCTATATGAAGCGCGCCGAGGAGATCAAGAACTGTATAATCGAGGATGAGTACAAACAGCTGGCACTGCGGCAACAGAAGGCTGCTGCTGCTGCATCAGCAGCTGGACATTCCACAGAGGCTCTCCCAACAGCAGAGGCACAGCCCAGTGGCTCGAGTGTGACGGAGATGCTGGAGCCAGATGCGCGCTACAAGCAGCTATGTATTAGAGAAGAACAAGAGTGTTAGGGTTTATGGTTAATTTTCCAATTATATTTTAGTTGCCTTGTCGAACTCTAGTCCGTCCCTGAAAACAGGCCTAGAAATCGGACGCAAAGGAGAGCTCTATCTGTACGAGCGGAAGCTGGACGCAGCTCTGGAATCGTACACCACTGCGTTGGGCATTCTGGTGCCTTTCGTGAACAATGAACCAAAGGGGGAACGTCGCAATCTATTATTGCAGCAGGTTGGTGAAACATTTTAAAGTTGATGCGCTATAATGATAAATTTCCCTATCATTTAGTTGGAGTTTTGGATGAAGGAGGCGGAGAGCATCAAGAGTATATTGAGCGCCAAGAATTTGGATGAAGAGGAACAGAAGTTGTCCACGGTACGCAGCTGCAGCATACAGTAGTAATAAACAAGATAAAATAGAAAATGATGAGCAATTTTTCGGCGCCTGGAGCGCATTTGTTAGAGTATTTTTGTAGACCGATGTTAGAGGTACATCGCATAGTCACGTAGCCTTCTTATATACTACTTATATACAGATACTTATATACAGAGATATATCTATACTAGATTTGCTTTCTATGTACAACAGAACCACAGCAGCTTTTTGTAACGCTTCCCCGACCCACAAAAAAAACAACACTATTTTAACGTATTTGAATTGTATGTACGAATAATACCACACTTTCATTATGTATGTCCTTACGCCTATGTACAGCATTCGACGAATGTGCCCATGTGGATCAGCGGTATTAGCCTTAACATTGATGGCCTCCCTCTTTTTAACAATAATTGTATTATTTGTTGGTTTTTAAAACGTTGTTAAGTTTTGTATCCTGTCATTATCTTTTTTAAGCGCACCATCACGAGAACCAACACATTCCACGGCCAGTCGAATCCCCCAAAACTATACCTTCTTTTGTTTATTGTTCTTAATTTAATTAAAATTGTTTAACTGATAACCGAACAAAACGTCGTTTCGATGTCAATGGAGATACTCCTACTAGCAGCGATAGCGCTGCTGTCGCTCTCCTGTAATCTGGGCTAATAAATAAACACAATCAGTCGGCAGTCCGATATTGGCAATGGCCAAAGAGCTCTATATAAGCATGTGGCCAAGTGGCAAGGGAACATGTTCTGCTCTACCATGTTGTCGTATAAAGATCTTTCGCTGGCAGCGCTTGTAATTTTGGCCATTGTTGGCTTGGGTCAGGCGGCGCCTCCCATTGGGCGTGTGGTTAATGGCACGGACTCTAGCATCGAGAGCTATCCCTTTGTGGTAATGTTTACGAATGACGAATTAGGGATAAACTGTTTGTACTAGTGTGGTTCAACTCTCAGATATCGCTGCGTGGTCCGTCCGGCTCGCATTCCTGCGGTGGATCCATCGTCTCCCAGCAGTTTGTGGTGACTGCCGCCCATTGCACTGCCGGTCGCACTTCTAATCAGCTCTCGGTGCAGTATGGAGTAACGAATATCAATTCCACTGGTCCCAATGTTGTGGGTGTGAAGAAAATCATCCAGCATGAGCTGTACAGTCCCGCCAATAACTATGCCAACGATATATCGCTAATCATGGTGCAGGAGCCGTTCGTATTTGATGGTGTTACTGTGGCAGCCGTGAAGCTCCCAGGGCTTGCCTTTGCCACTCCTCAGACGGACAGTGGCGGCGACGGAGTGCTCATTGGCTGGGGTCTAAATGCGGTAGGTTTTGAGATTGGAAGGACTCCACCAAAAAAACCTTAATCATAATTTTTTATATCCCTCCAGACTGGCGGCGTAATCCAGACCACTCTCCAGGAGGTCGATCTTAAAATCTACTCGGACAAGGAATGCTCTGATCGTCATAATGGTGCCACGGATCCCAGATACCACATTTGCGGTGGTGTCGATGAGGGCGGCATGGGACAGTGCAGCGGCGATTCGGGCGGCCCTCTGCTCTACAATGGCCAACAGGTGGGCATCGTTTCGTGGAGCATCAAGCCCTGCACTGTGGCCCCCTACCCGGGTGTGTACTGTAAGGTCTCCCAGTACATTGACTGGATTAAAAAGAATCAAATCATATTGGCATAGTCACGGAAATAAATTTTAAAGACGTATCTTTTGATACTGCCCTATAAATAATTGAATTGCGGTCCACTGAAATTGCTCGTGGCGATTGATAAGGAAATCATATTTTGTATGTCAATATTGAAAGCAAATAAAGAATAAATAATGGGATTTCCTAGTTTCAAGCTGTGACAGGTGTGGAATGTATGCGTGTAAGGGAGCAGTATGCGGTTGCATTTTGTATTAGTGAGAACAGTGCATCGGAAGGCCAACAGTGAAGTGAGAACGGTTCATGAGAAGCAATGCATTTTAGAGAGAATAGTTCATAGTCATTGCCGAAAGCCCAATGGTGACTCTCAAACTGTAGTAAATGTTTAGTTACGGCAACCTTCTCTTAATTTCTTCAACACATTTTTTTTTTTATTAACTTCCGTTAATCGCTCAGTTATATGATATTTTTAGTACTTTTTTTTGTTTTTAATAATTTTCAGTTATTTTTGGAACCCTTTGCAAACGGTTAAATGTGTTTACTAAAAAACCAAAACTTTTTTTCTTATACATATATGTATAATAATTTGTAAATAAATGTAAGCCAATCCTACCACACATATTAAATATATTTGTAGCAATATTAACACATTCAATGGCCCCAAATGTCAAACTGTACCACCAAAATGCAGAATAAAACAGTTTGAGCAGCATTGCACAACTGGACCAATACGAAGGCAACCCGAAGCTGCCACAAAAAACCCGAGCATCGCCATCGCTATGCCTTTTGTGGCATGGTTCTTGTTTCCTCTGCTTTCTGCCGCTGCAGTCAACATTTTCAACTCTGACGAAACGCACGGTTCGACGGATTCAGTAAAAATCAGTTGGAAATCAAATATTTCAGAGAAACGGTCAGTGAATGTGTTCAACAACTGAGGAGTGAACCAAGAAATAAACGTTAAAACCATGAGAAATGTGCCTAAAAATAAAGGGATTTTAATCAAACAGTCGAGGAATCTCAACGTACAAAATGAAACATGTAAAATGTATCTTAAACTATAAATATTCCCCACAAACATTTTTTAAATTATGAAGAGAATTTGAAACATTTAAAATGTGTCTGAAACATAGAAAATTCCTGCCAAAACATTTGTGAAAGTAGATAGTGGATTTTAAACCATTTTTTTAAATTAAAAAACTGAATAGTGAACTAAAAGAGCGTATCTATAATCGCAGAGAATATCTACGAAACATTTGTGAAATATCAAAGAAAAGGAGAATAAAACTCGAAAAAAAAATCCATAGAAATAGAGGGAAAATGGGAAACCGAAACAGTGTTTTTTTTTTGGAATATGTAATCCCTGCGGACAGATCTTGTCAATGTTGGTGTTCTTGTGTGGTTGCACTGTGCCATTGAGAATGCAAAAATGAGAAAAATATATTTCATTTGGCAGAGAAGAGCAGAGTGCGGAAGGTCATACATCGCCCATTTAGATGGACCATTGCATTCATTCGTTTAATTAAAAGCAAAAAAAAAAAATCCAAAAACATAACAAAAAAAAAAAGACTTGTTAATTGGCTGTTGCGGGGCAACATGGCGTATGCGTGATACTTTGTCTAGAATTTCGAAATAGCAGAAAATGAGAACATGAATTGATCCCGTGCCCCTCCGTGTGGCACACAGGCATCATCCACATTTCACCGAATCAAATCAAAGCCGAAAGTAGGCACCAAAAAGTACACATATTGTGTGAAGAGGAGGCAGTAATACGGTTTTGGGTTGCCCCTGCCGTACTTTTCCGTGTATTTTCCGGAAATTTCGTGGAAAACATTCAGAACAGAAAGCGCATAGAAGAACTTTGAACCATCCCTCGGTGCTACGCCGCTCCCCTAGCTCCCCTCTCAGAGACACGCATTTAACTAACAACAAAAGCAATTTGAAAACAATTTTTTGAGTTTTGAGAGAAACGTTTGGCCGTGTGTGTTTGTGGCATCCATGCTTATGGCTTTGGGCCTGGCTCCAGAGCTCCCCCAGCAGCCGAACAAAGGGTGTGGCAGCATTTGGAAATTTGTAACATTTCTATGCTGCCAGGGAGCCCAGTAGCCCTACGTGCAACAAAAGCAGCATGATGGTAGGTGCATGCCACAAAAGTTGCCAACGCATCGACAGCTTTTGTGATTTAAGTCGATGTCTTCCATGAAAAGACCTTCACGGTACACAGTACTTTCTTGCAAGATTTCTGATTAAGTTTTCCCCAGAAAGTGCTGAAAGGTTTTGAAGAATTTATTGGGAACAATTTTGAGAAAAATTTAATATTCTTTCAGGATTGAGTAAAAGTTCCTAGAATTTTCCACATAAATTGATTCAAACTTAAAATAGATTCCTCTATTGGCAAGCGGATATCTTGTTTGGTTCTCCCAGAATCCCAGTATTTTGTAACAGAAAATCTAGAGAGATTAATTTTAGTTGATGACGCACAATTGTTTATTCCAGGAAATACACTTTTATCCTTCCCAGGCACCACGTCACTGCCAAGCAATTTTCATTGTTTAATTTTGTCATATTAGAATTCCAAGAATATCAGAACAGCTTCGTACTGAGCCTGAAGTACGTCAAAACATTTGGAGTGTTAGCTTTCATCTTCAACCTTTAAAGAACAAATTTTAAAACACAAAACAACCAACATTGACCTTTGGCAGGAGCTGGTGATAAACTACACAGAAGGAAACTCATCAAAGTTACAAGCAGACGAAAGCGAAATACATTGTGCACTGTACATATATTAATCAAGTAACCACAACAGAAACAAAAGCAGCCGAGAAAAAAGCAACACAGCAACAACTGCAATTTTAGTGAGTGCACACGCATACTGTTTGTCACTCCGTCAGTCTGCCCGTCGACTCCTCCTTTGTGTGCGGTGTGTGTTTTGTGTTAAAGGTCAGAACTCATATGAAAATGTCGCGCTCTAACCAAAAAGCAATGTCAACAAATGGCGCTGTTGTCGCCGCCGTCGACGAGGACATGGCCTCGTCCATGCATCCTGCATCCTCAGTACTCGCATCCCCATCAGCATCTGCATCTGCATCGATGTCCAGCATCAGCCTGACAGGTGGCACACCTCTGTTTAGGGCCAGTCGGGCTACGGTGGCCGCTGCCATACTGGTGGCCATTGTTCTGTGCAGCGGCAACTTGGGATTCGCCGACGGCCTCAAGTGCCACATGTGCGGCCAGTACAACGAGGGCGTGGGCTCCATCACGCCCTGCTCCAACTACACCAAAGACATTGCCCATCTCTATCTGAAGGAGTGCACCAAGAAGAGCGAGAAATATTGTGTGGTAAGTGGGATCGTAGCTTTTTTTTCGTGAAAATTCCCTAGCAAAGTCCAAGGTTCGGATATCGAAGCGAAATTGAAACGTTGCATTCATTTATTTATACACTCATTCATTTTGGTTCATTGCTGCTCATTGTTTTCATTGTCTGGACTGCAAAAGGACCATCGTGTCAGGCAAACAGCCACCATCCCTCCATTGAAGGTTTCCGCTCCTTCCTCCACTCCACTGCTCCATTGATGACGACTTCTCGAGTTTATGTTTCCCTTTTATTGTTCTTGCCATGTTGTGTGCTTGTGTTATCTTCGTATTGGCCATATATATTCGTTGGCAGTTTTGCTGTTGTCACATTTTTGTTGTTCCTTTCATTGGGGAGGGAACAAACAAAGATAAATTGCTTATAGAAACAAAGTGAATGATTTGCTAAAGTAACAGGATAGATCAGTATCTAGAAAGGGAGGGTAAGTATATAAAGTCTGTTCTTAAAAGCAGATGGTAAGGGCCCATACATTAGATGGAAGGGGTAAAGTCGTTACTTAGAAACAGAGGGTAAAAGGCAGGATTTAGAAAACGGGAGTAGCACGAAAATTTTCACTAAATAGATTCCAAAATCAATGCGTATTTATTCAGAGAATTTGATAAAAGTTTGATTGTCTACAGCCAACCGCTGAAATTGCTAGAGTACTAAGCAAACAATAGATTTACCGAAGTGTACAACTCTTTTAGCAAACATTGATCTATTGTCATCACTTATTGCTTCACTAATTAATATCAGGTAATGGGAGCTTATGGGTTGAGCCCATGTAAATCTATTACGTATACGCGTCGTGTTTAAATTACTAATACGCAATGTTGGTGCCTGCAGCAATCACGCAACTGTTAACCCTCTTTTTGCGTCCACCCAGCAGTACATCCATCTATCCTTCCACCAAGAAAAGACAAACTAATGGCAACTGCCTGCGCTGGCAATTTCAATTAGTTTTGAGGTCGCATTTGGGCTCCCCCGGAACGATCTCTGGTATGGGTGGCACGGAGTACGTGTGCCGACTTGATTGTGGGCGTGGCAGCCCAATTGTGCACATAAATTGCGGCATATTGTATGCACTTGATTCTCCAGTGTATCTGTATCCATTTCCGAATGTCTGTGTGCGTTGGGAGGAACACTTAACGTATTGCAACAGGAGGAACGCAGCATAGGAGCCAAATCAGGTAGAGGAGCAGCTTTGGGAACCCTCCGGTTTGCGCTCTGGCAATCATTAAATATTTAACACCTACTTGCCATGCACAGCTGCCATCTGGCTGCCGAATCCCACACTCCTCCATTCCACATGGAGGAGTAGCCCATAAATTGTTATTTTCTGCGGTGCACGATGAGAACACGTCCCACTCATTTCAACGGCCACGCCCGTAACGCCCTCGTCTCTTGGGAATCATTTAGTCAGCAAGGTTTTTCTCTTGGAACACACAGTTTTCTTCGAAATCAACACATGATTTTATTAAAAGTCGACGGATTCTTTTTTGGCAACTACAGGAAATAAGGCAAAATATTTTTGTAAAGTTTTAAAAACTTTGGATAGGTGTTTTCACATTTAAAATAGTTTTTAATATATGAAAATTTCATTGTAGTTTGTTCGCTCTCATTAACATAAATTTTCATTCTCTTTCCATCCAGTAGAACATATTTATATGCACGCATTGGAAAAACTTCATTTAGTTGCAATTGGTAGCAAATAAGAATAAATTTAAGAAATTTATACAACATTGCGGCATTTGCTTTGTGCCCCCAAAGTGTGTCCTTTGCAGCAAATTTGTATTCCAATTTATATAAATAAGAATATATAAATATTATGCGAATATTTTGACCTTTTTTTTATATAATGTGCAATGATTAACCATAATTGTGTTATTCGATATGTTTGTACGAAAATTTACTGAAAAATTATAGAAAATTGTGTGCGGAAATAAAAAAAAAAATGTGGGGGAATTTTGAAATGCAGGAATGTATTTTAAAATTATATTTTGGGCTTTTGTGGATAATTTTATTTGTGTAATTTAAGAGAATTTATTTGCCACATTCATTTCGATGAAAAGCGGAGGAACCTGCCTTCCATAAACAAATGGAATTTCTATCTAGAGTTAGGAGACCAGATAGATATGACACACCTCAAATTAAAATACACGTTTTTAAGCTCGATTTTAAGATACAGAAGTCCTTCCCTAAAATTTGACATTAAAAAGTTGTGATGACTTGACTTCGAAAAGAAAAAGTTTGTTTTACAATCCTTTTCTGCTAAAATTGCTCAAATGACGAACCAATAAATTACCAAGGACAGCCTTTTAATTTTCTGCTAAATTCTGCAAAGATGAAATTTGTACAAGAAAAATACAAAAGAAAACGCTTGAGTCCGTCAAGGCTCAAGTATTTCTATTTAACTTTTATCTTTCTGTCTTTTCTCCTTTTTGTTTTGTTTTGTTTTTGGTGTTGCCCTTCTGCTGATAATTGCCATTAATTTGGTTATTAACAGCTTCACAGACACTTAATTAACAGAATAATTTATGCCAAGCCGCTAGACTAAAGTGCCCCAGAATGGCGAGATGCTCATGCTGATGTTTATGATGATGTTGATGAGGATGCGCTCCAGTGAACGCCTCCGAAAAGACAAGAAAAATATGCTGCAACACCCGACTACACAGACAGGAGAACAGCTTTTGTTTAAATATTAACCAGCATAATAAAGACTGCTCCTCTGGCTCCTCTTGCTCCGTCTCTTTCATCATCTATGGATGTCTGACATAAAAGTTGAAGTGTTTCCTTGGTATTATTGTAGTTCTTGTGGGGCGGTTGTTGTCCTGACTGCTTGACCTGATGTCGTCTTGTTCTTGGCCAAGTAGTTGTTTTTTTTGTTCTTCCCAAAAAAAGTTACAGGACCATGGCGCCGCACCGTCTGCCATGAATCGTCTTATATATATTTATGAGTTAAATTTATATTCAAATTAGTTGGGTAACCAGTTTTGGAAGGTGCACAGCGAGGGGATGTAGTACGAGTAGTGTTACAACATTGAATGAATGCATAATTCATTATTTCAATAATGAGTGCTTAAGGGTAGCAAAACTCTGCTATTCATGGAGCATAATCTACATCTTGAAAACAATGGGTGTGGGTCGACCATTGTTTGAGGTTCGGCTCAAGTACGTAAACAAATACTGCATTTGTGTATGTTTAACCCTTGACCTCATGGAATACAAAAAAAGAATGGCATGTGGTGGGAAAGGAAGAGAGGCACAGCCAACGCCTGGTCACGTAATTAATTTTTTTTGTGCTGTTTTGTATTTATTTTCAACTTTCCTGGCAAGGCAACGCTTCATTACCCTTAAAAAAAATAGGAGTAATGGTGCTGGTAGCACTGAAGGATCACCCTAAATGGGTAACTTTGGATAAACTCGTAAATCTGGATACTCTCCAAGTTTATAATGAATCAAGAATACATTAATAGTACACCGTACAATATACCCAGGTTTTCTTTAGCCTGTTGTATACATTACCATTAGTACCCCCAGAGTCACAGATACCGGGTATACCCAGTGCCAATCAAAATTACAAAAAAATCAAGCAGCAACGTCTGACTAATTAAAACCGAGCTTCTATGTATTATACATTGTAGGTTAAACACATTTTCTACTGCAGTATCAAACATTTTATTCTATGTACGAGTAGGTACTGCAGTATCAAACTTTTCCCTTTTTTTGTGCAACTGCAGGAGGCATTCCTTGCTGCATAAACAAAGCATTCTCTATGGCGGCTGCTGGTGCTACTACGTGCTTGTTGGGGGTAACGCCACAAACCAAAACGCTGAATAACAGACTCAAATATAGGCCACTGGCCGACCAGCCACGCCCCATCCACTGGGGGCCAAAAGAGGGAAACAAAAAAAAAGGAATGCAAATATTTTGTCTTCATTTTCCCCTGCTGTACATTCGTCGAGCTCATCGCCTCTTCTGTTTGAAGCCTGCCCTGTTGTGAATGTTGTTGTTGCAATTAGGAATGTTTACACGGGGCACCCGGAACAAACACGCCCCGAAAATCACTTAAAAGTTGGCATTTTTCCATCTAATATTTTGCGTAAAGTGGCACAATTTAATGGTGCAAATATGTATATAATAATAAAAGAAAAAACAATTGGAAATGGTGAACATCTTTTATGGAATAAGGAAAAATGAATATAATAATAAATTTAGGTCTTATTCGCGTTGCATCAGCTGATTTGTTTAGTATCCAAACGATTTATCTGTTAAATAATTAAGAAATATTTAGACTTTTGTGTGGATAAATTTATAAATCTTTACATTACCTTCTTCATTTACTTGTTTTTCATTCAATGCTCATAAAGTTTTTCAAATGTGCATTTATTTTCGTAGAACTTAAAGACCATTTGGGGTATTTCCACATATGCCACGTACGATGGAACCATTTGCGGCAGGACCAGATCACGAAACTTGATCAGAAATGATATTTGTTCTCCCTGTTTAAAAGCTTCGAGTATATGTTTTGCTTCGAAGCCCCAACAAAAAGGATTGTCAATGACTGCCGTGGGGTCAACTTTCAATCGTTTTGCTTTGCCTTCGTACAGTTCGTTTAGGTCATGGTTTATTAGGGGTTGATGATGATAAGCGGCGATCAGACGATCACAGTTCAGGCTGCTGGGAAATTCCCAAGTATTGTCCTCTTCGGGGAAATTCAACCACTTGACAAGATATTCGACTTTGCCCTGGCGTACTCTCAGACCGATTATTTTCTCAACAACATATTCGGTATGTTCTGTGGCTAAGATCATCATCTCCAATGAGGAGCTGCTGTGGCCCTTCGCTTTGTCAGATTTTCCCATGTTTGTAATTAGTTCCAAATGCAGAATTTGGGGAACTGGTCGATCGTTAACGAAATTGTACCGTCCTCTATGAGTACAAATAAACGGTATATAATATTTTTGGTGAATAGAATGAATTTTGAATTTATTTTTCTTTTCACTTTTTATCGTAACTTTACGGCTTTACGCTTTACGGCTCAATTTTTGTAGTCTACCTTTCTGTATTGACACAGTTTCCTTGGCCAACTTTGTTCTACTTTTTTTCGTTACGGAAATCAAAGATTGTTATACATTTCAAAGTATGTCTATCTATATCTTGTTTGGCGAAGAAATCTCAATCGTTTGCCAAAGATTATCATACAATTTTAATAACAAACAGGCGAAATTTATTTAATATTCAGAAAGAAAACTTACCAAGAAGCTGTCTTATCTTAATATCCAGGAGCTCAGAGCATAACAGCTTAATAAAATACCCATGCCAATGCAATATGAGAAATTGAATAAAGTTGTTTGGCCGGAAAGGTATTTGGGATCCGTGGAGGCCAACAAAAGTGCTCGAAGACAACACCAACCACCACTCGAAGGCTAAATGCGGGAAAATATCGTTAAAAATTATGCGTAAACTTTGCCAAAAGTTTCAGGACTCTCGTGGATGAAAGTTTGTTGAGGTGGGACTTGAATATCACAATGTTTAATGATGGAAAAGTTGCTTTTAAAGGATGGGGATTCTTGACAATTATTTCCTGAAATATTATCATATGTAATAGAATCTTTAATTAGTAAAAATGTAGGGACTTTTACAGTGTATTTCTTTCTTCTTGAAGAAAACACACCTATTTTTATTGCTCTCCTTCAAACTTTGTGTCAAATCCCGGAGAGAAGAGTTTTTTCACGTCCGTGACATTAAAGCATCCAACGTTTTATTGCCCGAAATTAAAAGCCCGATTATGGGTGTTGACGTGGGCCAGATTTAGGTGGAGGTCCACTCTTTTTAGAGGCCGAGATTTACATCCCAATGCCGCAATCAAAGTGTGCAGTGAGCGGTACATGAACGGAATAAATCAGTTGAATCCTTATGCTCGACATTGAAGAGGATGGAATCCTGAGGAGCCAATGCCCATGGTTATATAAGAAAATATTGAGTCTTTTCAAATGTAGTACAGGCGCTACAGCGCTGAAGCGGGGAATTAGTATTTCCCAGGTGGGGGTAATAAAGCCATAAATGGGGCGCTGGCAATTTCCGTGCGGCGAGTTGTGAAATCAGCGACAAATCGGAAAGGAGGAAGTAAAGGAAAGGCGACCAGCGGAAAGGGAAGTGAAAGTCGAAGTGACTGCCTATGCCATCATTTCCGGCAGCCATTGATTGTCACGACAAATGGCTGAGATGGGCGGAGAAGTCAACAGAAAACAAGTTGCGCCTGGAAAAATTCAATGTAATTGATAAGCAGCTCTGCCAGCAGATAGTACCCACACATACAGGACTCCCTAAGTCCGTAAGCAAACATGAACATCCATGCCAGCAGCTATTCAACACACAGATACTATCGTACACCCATACAATGACAGAGGCACTCAATTAAGAAAACAATGGCGGCTCGGTTTGTGCGGCAATTGAGTTTTTTCTTCCATCTGTTTTTGCTTTTTCTTTGTTGGGCTTTCGGCTTTGAGACCAGAGACGTTACTCACTTTCACCCCTTCCTCGGGGGTGGGGCCAACTAAGACGCTTAGTCTTGCTACAAACCCAATTCACTTCTCGTTGCCTTTTCTATTTGACTAGCTTCAGGGTCTAGCCACCCATAGACATCTTTCCATGCTAACCAACTCCCTTTAGGATCTTCCACTCGCCCAGACTCCTTCCCGGCCTCATTAGCCGTTGTCTTTTGGCAAATTTGGCTGTCACTTTTTGCCTTGTATGGCATTATTTATTAGTAGTTCTCTTTGTCTTTTACCTAGACCCCACTTAACCAGCTTAAGGGCTAATTTCCACTTTTATTTGATCATCATTATAATTATTATGTGTTTGTTTTGACAGTGGTACTGTCTTAATAGCTCTGAATCTGTCGAAGATAGGGAATAGTTTGATACAATTGTGTAAAGAGAACAAAGGAGTGTGAGTCCATGAGTAGGTAATAGTTTTTGCTGATGGTTATTTGAAGGAATGATAAGAAAACATTCTGGGGAATGTCCTTGTTTTCACAGAAGAGCAACATAGTAATCTTTATCAATCTTTTGTTTTGGTGCGAAATTGCCTCAATGTCGTTTCTGGAAGTTCAAACTCTCTCCTAAATATTTAAAGCAATCACATGAAAAATAAAATAAAAATTCCTCTTCTGCCCCAGCAGAGATTAGCTTGATTTCTGTTTCGGGCACTTTAAGGATTTTCCCTTTGCTCCATTAACACTTAGCTCTCTAGCACACATATACAAACATATGTGAGGCCCCAGAAAGTTTTTACCCAAACACCCAGAACAATAATTCATTTATTTTTGCCACATTTGAATACATAAATATATGAGTTTATATGTATACACATTCCCAGTTGGGCCGACAACTATCCTGCTTCTTTGCATTCATTTTGAAGCATTGTAAGCGATTTAAAATGTGCACAACTGGCAGTTGGCTGTTGCCTGTTTTCGACTGTTGCCTGTTGGCAGTTGGCACTTGGGAGCTGCCATGGCCAAAAAGTTGTTTTTCGCATATAAATGATTTTGATAACGCGCACTGACATTTTGTGACTTCATTATTCTAAAATTCAAATTATGCCAACGAACAATGGAATTCCACACAACCCAAAACAACCACACAAAAAAATGGCGAAAAACAAAATGAATGGGAAAGTGGGTCAGACTGTGGCTGACAATAAGTTTTATTAGCTCTCCAGACAACACATTCACCAGCACAGTTATGTACGAATATGTAAAAATATCCATTTTTATGTGTGTAAAAACATATGTATGTTTGAGGAAAGATGTGATTGGCTATGTTACGCATACGACGTGTATGCAAATTTGAAGCTTCCTCAACTGTATATGTAGTATACATATCTCTCCTGTCATATAAAGAATGTTGTGCCACTGACGAGCTGCTGGTGCTGTTGATAAAGGTTCCTGGGAACATGCCAGAACCCATACGAACTGAATAAAGTAATGTGCTCGACTCCTGTCAAAGCCACTTTCCCACTTCATTGAGCATTCTCGCACACAGAAGAGAAAGCGACTCTTTCGTGTAATTTATTGCTGGAAATTTATATTATTTCTTTGCAAGACAGACAATTGCCAAGACACTAATAAAATATATTTCTTGTTTATAACTTATGAGAGGCAGCAACATGGCGCGAAAACTTAATGAAAAATGGTTTGCCCAGGAACGTGTGTATCCCCGCTCCCCATATTATGATGGGCATGCAGCTGTGACCAACTAATAACCAGGGGGCGTGACTAAACGTGCACGAACAAAACTTTTTACATAATTTTCCCCCACTCATTTCTTTTACTTTCTTTTTTTTTTGTTTTTTCTCTGCTCTGTTCTGTCTGTGTGACAACATCCACTGAAATTTTTATAAAGCTGATGCTCGGCTTACGAACCAAAGCCAAAACGGAAATCCTTAGTTTCCTTATGACAGCGACATCCTGGGACAAACCAAAAAAGCAAAAAAAAAAAAAGGCAAACCCAGAAACAGAGAAAAACTTTCGCCCGGCAACAAAAATGCGGAGAAAAGCGTAAATTTTTTTTATTAGATTTCGCTTGCAGTCACTTAAAGCGTCGGATCGGAGTCGCGTCGCGTCTCGACATTGCCCTTGGCAAATTGCTGGCTTCCGTCGCGGGTATTTTCCACTTTCCCGCGGAAGTACTGCCATATTGGCCATCGATATCGCTTCTGGGGTTATTAATTGACAGTCGGCTGCTGGTTGGGACTGCATCCAGTTGGTACTTTCCCTACAGCCATTCATATTAATCAACTGAAAAGTCAAAATGAAAATTTTTACCACCATCAATCAAGGGCCTGACGGCACCAAGGCTCAAACTTGCCAACTTTTTGGCAAAACTAAACAATATGTGAGGTGGTTGGTTGTTGTGCGACATGTTCCTCGGGGAGTGAGAATCAAAATATTTGCTTCAACTGACCCACAAAGGGGAGACACAGTAATAAATAAATCTTGCATAAAGTTTTAGAATAGATTTAGTAAGGACGAAGTTTGTGATACTCTTCATTTTAAACCCATTTTTAATTCCGTTATTCTATTCTATCAAATTATTAACTGATTATCTTAGATAAATCATTGAAGCTTAAAACTGATGTTGTTATATAAATTTTATTACATCTACCTTTCTGGTTATGATGTCTACCCCGTGAAAGGGCATCATGAAAATATAAAATTTCTTGTTCAAACTTTTTGTCAAAAACCACAATAACTTTGTCTGTTTTCCTCACATTTCCCATGACTTCCATGAGGTTGAGTCCAATGTTGGTCTCCAAACAATTTTTTTGTATTTTCCCCAAGTGTATAATGTAATTCGCTTAAAGTCCAGGACTGCGACAAGTTGAGCAAATTTACAACTTCGATATAAATTCCTTGGTTCTGAGGCTCTCTCTCTTGATCAACGTCCGTCCATCCGTTTGTCCGTGTCTCCGTTTGCCTGTAGAGGCCATGTGGGGCCATAAACGAAGCCATCGACATTGTAAGCCAAAATGTAAAGGGAAGAGGGAAGTGGTCATAGTCCGTAATAAAACGCATAAAACGGATCTGTGTAAATGGAGAATTCTGTTGCAGTTTTTACGAGTGCCAGCCTCTTCCACTCTCAATGCAATTTGGGGCATTGTCTTGCCATCTGGGTCCTCCGTGGTTCATTAGGCGTAATGGGTGTGTGCAAATTTCCTTTTTTACGGGAAAACCCAGCCCTCGGCCTTCTGGTAGAACAGTCATTAATATTAATCATTGTAAAGCCGTTTAACTCATGCGAAAAGTCATTCTTGGAACTGGAACTTATGATTACTGCTGGACTTGAGGCGAAGAACGAGTAAGAAAAGTTAGTTGGCATTCGCTAGTGGGAATCTTATTATCCTAATGTGATTTGCTCGGGTCAGGACACCTGGGATTCGTGCGACTGTCTGCTGGCTGAGTTGGGTCAGGTAATTTGCATCCTTCTAATAAAATGTACTAGAGAGCAAGACATTTTACATAATTTTTTAAGATTTCAGAAACTTGTAAATTCAC